TCATTTTTCGACAACACTGACACAGCATTCAGAGATGGAGCTAAGAGGAATACTATAGAGTGTCACTTGGGTGACAGCTCTGTGTCTGCTGGGGCTACTGACATCTCATTCAAGATGGCAGCACTCAACAGCAGGCTCAGGGTTTTTGGATGTCTACAAAAGAGAGGCTTTTACAGATAAATAACATGTTTAATACATGTTAAATGAACATATAGAGGTTGATTTACTAAAGCTGGAGAATGCAAAATATGGTGCAGCTCTGCATAGTAACCAATCAGCTTCCAGTTTTTATTGTGAAAGCTTACCTGAACAAGCTGAAGTTAGTAGCTGATTGGCTACCATGAACAGCTGCACCAGATTGTGTACTTTTCAGTCTAAGTAAATCAACCCCATATTCTTGTTAGAAGATAATTGTTGGAACTATTGGTCTAGTGACAGAGTGTTTTAAACCTTATTGGCAGGGGCGGACTGACAACTCATGGGGCCCCCGGGCAATAGGGGATCATGGGGCCCCTGTGTCCTCAAAAAGGCCTATGAAAAAGGTACCAGGGGCATCTCATGGGGCCCCCTACTGACCCCGGTCCCTCGGGCAGCACCCAAGTTTCCAAATGGTCAGTCCGCCCCTGCTTATTGGTCACTCTCTTTAATTCCAGTTTTACTCCAGTGTTCATTGCTACAATGCTCAAAAAATGAAGAGGTTACTAAAGTTGGTTGAAGAGGTTACTAAAGTTACAAAAATTCTTGGAACTTCGGAAGTGATATAATGTATTATATTGTATTGTATCATTTCGTTTTCCTGAGCATGGTCCTTTTTTTCTTTACAAAATTGTACTGATTACATGAACATTGTTCGCTCTGGTATTGTACGAGAAAAAATTTTGTGCTTGTCCCTTTGGATAATTTTGCTTAACTGTCATGATCGGCTCTCTAAAGCTGTGTACTAACGATCAGATTATCGCTTTGAAAGTGGTATTTTTCATTCAATTTTCTTATCATGTGCCCTAAGCATTAAGATAAAGCCCAGATTGTGGAAAGGATTTAGGTACTTCTTTGTTTCCTGGAATATGGAAATTATGTAGTGGTAGTCCCTGTGACTATATCCTAAAAAGCCTTAAAGTACATCCATAATCAAGGCATGCAAACCAAGGTTCAGTTTACAGTAGCAGTAGATATGAGAAGATTGTCATCTATCTAATGTTGCAATTTTTGGCTTAATCAAATTACAATCACATGTCAGGAATAAAGATCATTCTTAAAATGTTGCCCCATATGTCAAGCCTTAGTAGTGGACTGGCTGGCTCTTGTTTTAATATATCAGACAGAAATATGAAGCAAAACAGGAGTTTCTTCAAAATATGAATTTGTTAAAGAGAATGTAATAATAGCAGTAATATTCTTCCAGAGTAGCCGAACAGTTAATGGTTATTAAAAAAAATTGTAAAAATGCAGTGAGCGCTCTCAATAATTAGCAGCTGAACATTCAAGGAAAACGCATAAAAGTCCCAATAAGTATATATATAAGTAAAATGCAGCGCTATTAATATATTATAAATGGTTAAATGGATAATGATAAGACACAGTTTAGTGAAAGGTGCTCGTTGATTCCCGGTGCAAATGGTAGAAATGCGCACTAACCAGAAGCGTATAGGTAATACGCATGTGAATATATATCCTGAAGATTCCCCTCTCCTTTCTGGTCTGATCACGGGAATAGCTCCTTGCTGCACTTGATTCTTCACATGTGTGTTTGTCTGTGCTCACCTGTGTTTATATATTATTATGTGTAATATATTATTATGATATATTAATAGTGCTGCATTTTACTTATATATATAGTTAATGGTTATTGTTTCATTTCGATACATCATATGAGCTCCATGACCACCATAGAAGGCACAGAGTGGCTGCATAGGTTGAAAAGAGCAGCAGGTAAGCTCTGAACATAAGGCTGTCTAATCTGTAGCAAAGGCTGAGCCAACGGGTGTGCCAGGCTTCCTCTGACTTCATCTCTTGTACATAGGAACGGATGGAGGTCACCTCCTGCAGGATATGCTCCATCAGCTGGTCATCGACTATTGCAGGGCTCTGGAATACTTCTTCAACATCACAAATGCTCTCTAGAAGACAAAACAGAACTAATTAAAGTGTATGTAATTTTTTTTTTTTTAAATCACAAAATTAATTTTAAGACATATAGCCTTGCCGTGCCAGACTTTTTTCTTCTTCTTTATCATGCAAAACATGCAGAAATATCTGGTGAGTCTGCCAGTCTTCCTACTTGTGCACCTGTTTCCTGCTCTGTTCTGTCAGCACTATCTGCCAGCTCTGACCCATGGTAGCATTGACAGGTATATTCCGTTTGGCCTTCCGTTTGGCCTTCAAAGGAAACACCAGGCACAGCAAAACTAGCACAAGCTGTCACCCACTTATTGCAAAGGATGGGTGTTTCAGCATGCTTGTAGTCCACTGCAGCCCTCGTCTGTCAGTTGTGCTTCACTTAGCTATGCTATCCACCTCATTCTCCTTGTCATCTCCTGGCTAGTAGTGCATTAGGACAGGGTCCTGTTCTAATGTGGTCTCCCAGTATTGTACATTGCAGTGCATTGCATTGAGACACACACCAACAGACTGAATGTAGGCACCATATTGTATGGTAACCTCATAAAACTTAAGGTCTCCACTCAAGCTCTTGTAAGTCCATCCAGTGTTTCCTGCAGAGGGTGCTGGCTGAGCAGGAGTCCATCTAACTCCTCACATACTGTAGATATGCATAGAGAAAGGTCCCAAGCATTGCACACCTAGCACAATCGCGATCGCAAAGCCATTATGTAAGGGATTTCCGGCAAGAAGAATCGCGATCGGAAATGCGCATAGGAATTCTGGTCTTCAGCTCCCCCATGTCCTGCTTGTTCCTGTGTGATTCCTTTGTTGCTGACCCGGCTTGTTCCTCACCTGACTCTGACTGCTCTCCTGATACTGGTTCCTGACTTCGGCTCTGCTCCTGACCTTGGCTTTTCCTTCTGATTCTGTACCTTGCTGCCCGACTGTTGATGGCCCTGGCTATTCCATGACACTGCTCCTGTCTCTTGTCCTCACTACCTGCCTTGCTCTGGTGCACACCTGGCAATCAACAAAACCTGCTCTGCCTACTACTACTGTGCCAAAATCAGAGGATCATCAGCCTTCCAAGGTCATCATCTCCAAGAGCTGCAAACAACAACTACTGGCACTCTTGTTCCCCTGGGTCCTAGACTCCCTCTGTTACAACTCCAGCGGGGTCAGGGCAACTGACACAAGTGAGGCTGACCTCATCATTTCAGTCTCCCATCAGGTACATGACACATTAGTAAACAAGTGAAATCAGTCTCACCCAGCTTCATCCAAAGCCACGCTCTCCAACACGTTTTACCCTGAACACAGGGCTTAATCATGGAGGCTGCTTTCACCTGTTTACTAATGGCTTTCCTAGGTGTGTAGTGTTTGGGACATTTCTCTATGCATATCCACCAGATGTTATGGGTACCAGCAAAACGGATGACCACAACAATAAATTACCAAATGGGTCCATATACACTGGGTTTAAAAAACACTGTATCTACAGTAGTTTTGCATTTTACCCATAGAAGTAGCTCCATGTTATCGTATGTGTCCATGCACATTAGGACGTCTAGAGGAATATTTTAAGCTCAACATTTAGAGGCAGAAAAAAACCCTTCTGGTTTACGTTTTTGAGAGGAGGTTTCTAGCAGAAAAAACTCTAAACGCTAGTGCAAAAAGGTTCTATGCGAGTGTTTTTTCTGCCAAAAGAACGGGGAGTTTTTTAAGCACAGTGTGCATGGACCTTATAGGTTGAGGTGAAAACTCTGAAAACACATAGCAAACTACTTAACAGAAACAAATATACACATTATAAGAACTTCAGCCTTTCCAACCCTACCCCCCCTCCACACACACATTTTTTCCCACCTGCTTAACTTTCACTGTTCTGCAGAGTTAGAATAGTCTTCTAGCCAGCAGATCCAGCATTGAGCTCCTGCGATCCTTCTCTCTGGAGCCTCTGCATGGGTCCAGTGCTGCCATGTTGCCTGTCACAACTGCAAGCTATCCTATGTAAGTCCCACCCCCCTCCTCCTTAATGAATGGGACTGCACGTCACGCATCCCAGGAGGCACAGGGAGAACCGAGTCATTTTCCTAGGCAAATGCCAGAAGTTGGGGGGCGGGCCGAGCCTTTTAAGAAAAAACAGTAATCAAAACAAAAAAAAAAGAACCCGATATCAGTGCTGCGGAGGGGGGACTGGAAGGAGTAGAGGAACGTGCTGTGAGAGGGTCAAGATCCACTTAAAGTAAGGTTGGATAGTTTTATCTGGCACTTGTTTACATAGGTTGCATTTTGTTTTTCTTTCATAAATATTATTCTGCCATTTTATTCTGTATTGTTCATTAAATATCTAACTATCATTTGCCCCATGTTGTGACCTTGTTCTGAGAAGTATGGTTATTTGCAGTGCTTGGTGCAAATAAAATAAATGGCATGGCATGATAAAAAAAAATGTAATGAAAACAAACATCAGCTAAATAGAATTTAATCTCTAACTACCATTCATAGTGAATCTTTTGTACCAACTGGTACTTACAAATAATTAACCACACAGAAGAAAAAAGGCTAATTTATCCACCTGGTTATCATCTGAGTGAACATTAATCCCTAGGTTTCCCACAGAAACAATTAATAGTTTTTAATGTTATAAGAAAAATAATATTATAGTCCCAATGTGAAGCATATATTATACATGTATAACACATATTACTGTGTATGCTCATATTTACAGTAAATACTATCAGATTGTAATATAGGTTCAAACAGAATCACTTTTGCAAAAAATTATGTTGGATTGCAAGTCAGTAACCACCACTGTTAAATAAAGGGCATGTGTGAAGTTACCCTCCCTGAAGGAAATGCATTTATGAACTGTTTTTACAGCCATCAGTTTTCAGACATTACATAACTGTATTACCTCCTGTTTCATTGATTGAACTTATAGAGTGATCCTCTGTGTTTTCTTCATGGTCATCCTGTCTCTCCTGAGTCAACCTTCGGCATCGGGATATCAGAAGACTTTTAGATCCTTCCTTGTCAACATGAAGAAACTTTACCACCATAATCGATTTGCCAAGACTAAGCACCATTAGGGCCATGAAAACCACAAAGAATACACCTAAATCACATAAAAAGATTTGAAAACGCTTTTAGATACAAAAGATTTATTTGGTTACCCTTATCATATTAGTGGCAATGATTATACCATCTATCACATTCTTCTTGCCTAAACCTGTACTTAGAGTATTATCAAGGCTGATGGTGCTGAATCCCTAAGTTGGCCTTTGCTTATCCTATGCATTCTATGGATAGAAATTCAATAATTTAATTCAGCTAGTATGTAACAATTCTTTTTTATTTGGGAATTTGAAAAATATTGACAATAATGGCCATGTCACATTGGCAATCCTTAAAGGTGTTGGGTAAACAAGAGTGCTGCACCAAACAGATTATGAGTCCAAGAGTATTTATTTCAATAAAGAAGTCCAAAGATCCAAAGAATTTTTTTGGACCTCTATAATGAATAAGTAATCTTGGACAACTAGACTTTTGGTGTGACACTTGTTTTCCCTAGAAATTCTGCAGAGCCCTCTGCACACTGGTATATACCCTTTCTAGCAGACTTTGCAATAAATAGGGATATTTGGTTCACACATATTGCAATACATGTTTAAGCTGGCCAACTGCGCAAAGTAATCCCTCTCTGGCCAGTCCTACTCTGCTCTACCTACGCAAATGCTACTGTGGACACAATGCCAATATAGGGGAAAAGACAAAGAGGGGGAGAGCTACCAGGTTCAGGTCTGGCTACTGTTTGTTTTTTTTTACTTTTGTTTACCCTACACCTTCCCAAATTCACTCTCTGAGGACCCCTGGACTTAGCTGCATAGACATTGACTCAATAGTATGGACTTACTGTATCTTTAACACTGACATACAAAACCAACATTGAAGCCAGACCCAATTTTTTTTTAAAGATTAGCAATCCTGTCAGGGATGGCAACTCACCAGCAACATATGCTAAAAAACATTGCTCACCTTCAGTGTTCAATGAAACCTTGCTTGTTTGAGCACTGAAGGAGCAACAAAATAACAGCAGGCTAGTGTCTTCTCTGTTCTTTTACTGATCCTGTTGCTGACAAATTGCCATCAGCAACTTGGTCACTAGTATGACCTCGCTCTAAATCTGCAATAAAACCTTTGCATTTTTCATAATTGTGATACAATGTGCTTTTGCCATGATATTCATGTGCTGTCATTCATCCACTATGACTGATGTAGCAGACAAGATTTGATAGAAGAGTGATGACAGAGAAAAGATGCAGAAGTCTATCTAGTCTGGCCCATTTAAAAAAAAAAAAAATATATATATATATATATATACTGTATATACGTATATGTGGTGCATGTTTTTGTTCTTTTTTTCTTTTTCAATTGTCAAGGTATTGGTGTTTGCATTAACAATGTCTGATCTAGAGTGTCAGAGTATTTGAGAGGCTTGCAAAGTCAGGGCAATAACCGGGGACAAACATCCATTAGGGGCCCCCACAGGGGTAGCGCTACTTGTGGGGGCTCATCAGGCGATGTCCCAACTGTTAGCCTTAGCAAACCATACCATGAACCAGTAGGTGAACACATAATAGACTCCACCACCACTTTTTTTTAAAAATATATACACATTTTTTTGTCTTGTTTTTTATTGTTTTTTTAGGGGGTTTAGAGATCTTTGTTTGTCCCAAGCATGTTTGAATGCACGTACTGCTGACTGACTCACTATCTCTTATGGAAGTCTATTTCAAGCACCAGCACCAGCTACCCTTTCATTAAAATAATACTCTCTAAGATTACCATATTTTTCTCTCCATAAGACGCACCTGACCATAAGACGCACCTAGGTTTTAGAGGCAGAAAACGGGAAAAAAAATATTCGGAACCAATGGACTGCAGACATAGTACAGGAGATGACCAGAGACTGTGGACATAGTACAGGAGATGACCAGAGACTGAGGACATAGTACAGGAGATGACCAGAGACTGCGGTCAGTATAGAGATAACCAGAGACTGTGGCCAATACAGGAGATAACTGCTGACCTTTGGGGAGGGGGGGGGGCGGGTACCTGAATTTGACAGGTACCCGCTCTTACTTCCGCGGAGTTGTTCTTTGGTTAGTGTCCGCTCTGCAGCGGGACCTTACTTGTTCCTCTATCCAGCCGCGCGCTGTCTTCCCGGTTTCTGTAGTGTGGGCGCTCGGCTTGACAGCCGGGCGCCCAGTACGCAGGAGCGAGAAGCGCTGCGCTTTGTGATTGGTCTGGCGGCTTCTGGGACCTGTCATGTGTCCCAGGTGCCGCCTTACCATTCACAAAGAGCACCGCTTCTTGCGCATGCGCACTTGGCACCCGGCTGTCAAGCCGAGCGCCCACACTACAGAAGCCGGAAACACAGCGCGCCGCTGGATAGAGGAACAAGTAAGGTCCCTCTGCAGAGCTGAGCGGCCGGCCCGGCGGCGGTGGAAATACCGGACCGGCCGCTCTATATTCGCTCGATAAGACGCACTGACACTTCCCCCCTTTTTGGGGTGAAAAAAAGTGTGTCTTATGGAGCGAAAAATATGGTAGTTTTGAACTTTCCTCCTGCTAATTTAAGGTCATGTCATTGATTTTGACTTCATACTGAAAATACGACCTTCCTGAACCCTATTCACCCCCTTAATGTCTATAAAGGTTTCATTCATGTCTCCTCTTTCCGTTCTCTCCTCCAGACTGTACATTAATATTGTTTAACAACAAGCCATACATAAGAATCTAGGTGTGAATAAAACATGACAACATAATGTTTGATCAGTATTTGCTCTGAATGAATATAAACCTAAATACAAGAAAGGAACAAACCAGATCACTGAGGACCTTGATATAACACATACAACATAAGATATGTTACTTTATTTTGTTTATACAAAGTAGTACCTACCAATTAATGGCACACTCAAAGTGGTAGCTGGCAGTTCATCCGCCATATTAACTCTGAAGACTGTATAGCCAACAAGAATGGTGGTTTTGAACATGATTCTGGTTCCACTGTCTGGGGGTAGGTAAAAGCTCATGAGGTCTACAAACATAAGCAGAATGCTGGGCAAGAGGATGCCTACAATATAGAGAAGAGGGCGCCGGCGGATAACAAGCTGCAAAAAGGATCAGAGGTCATGACTTATGGATATTGTATATGTATTATCTGCCATTTATAAAGTGTACAAACAGATGATATTATTAATACATAGCACTTGAACTCAACAGGTAGATGCATTTGTATATCAAACCATAAAACAGGATCAAATTAGAGTGGGGGTCCTGCTCATATTAGCATGTGTCTAAAAGGTGACGGTCCAGAAATAAGCTGAGAGGACAAGTTATGTATCAGGTGTCAGTTATCGTCTTGTCAGAGAAAGCAGCTGGGGATCAGTTACTAAAGGTACGGAAGAGTGCAGTAATTTCAGAGCAAAATTGTTGATTTTCTAAAACCAATGGCTTGATATGGTGATTGATGCTTTGTTGTTTGAAAAAAGGGTTAACATTAGAGTTAAAGTAATATTAAAGGTAGATTTAGAAAACAAACATGTCATACCTGCTCTGTGCAGTGATTTTGTGCTTTTTGAGTAGCTCCAATCCTCCTCTTCTTGGGTCCCCCGATGGTGCTCCTGGCCCCTTCCTCCTGCCAAGGGCAGCAAGTAGCTTGCTATGGGGGCACTCGAGCAGGCTCGTTCCTGAACTGCTGCTCTGTCTGTCCATTCACAGCCTCTCCCCCCACTCTCTACTCATTAGCTCACTGGCAGTGATTGGCAGTAGTGGGAGCCAATAGCTCTTGCTTCTATCTCAGCCAATGAGGGGGGAGAGACCTGAGAGAGACGCTGCTCTCATGCACATCGCTGGATTGGAATCAGGCTCAGGTAAGTATTAGGGGGGTGGCTGGGGAGGCTGCTGCACAAAGACATTTTTTACCTGGGTAGAAATCCTTGAGCCTTTACATCCACCTTATGCTGCCCATACACTGATTTTTTTTCATTTAGCCTGCAAGTTACACATTTCTGTATCCACTCTAACAGCGCAGATAGAGAAATCCCCAATGCCGGACTATTGTATTCTGACAGCCACTGCCAGCAGAAGTCAGAATACCTGAACAATAGCTACATCTGATTGGATGCAGCCACTGACTGGTTGACAATTTTCCACCCAGCTCCTTCAATTTTTTATTTGTCAGGAACCAGATGAAATTTGTAAAGTGTATTGCCATTTAATGTCATTGGACCATTTTTGGCACAAGAGCATGTTCTAGATCATTGAAAGACTGTTTTCTAAACCACAGGGGCCATTTAAAACCAGGTGCATCCTAAAAACCACCTTAAAGCCCAACTGAAGTCTGATTTTACATGTTAGCTGTCTTACTGCAGTGCATTAATGTTTTCATTTGCAAAAGCAGCAGAAAACCTTCAGTTTCCAAAGGCAGGTTGTAGAGAGGATCACTACTATGTGTGTGTGAGCAGTGGCCTCCTGCAGCAGTCTGATGTGACCCTAGATAATCAGCAAAGCTTACATTCAATGTTGATTACCTATCTCTAGCTGTTGCTCAGCTCCCAGCACATAGCTTTAGTAGGACCAGATTTTTGCATAAGTCAGGGTGGCAGGACTGCTGGGGGAAGTGGGGGCACACAACCACCCACACATAATGTTGCTGACTTCAGTTATATATTTCCTTTGTATATTAAAAGGTTCTAGACTGCCATCTTGCCTGCAAGTGCAATCCATCTAGGTCCAACTGGAAATATTATAAATCTGTAAGAGGGTTCAGAAATGACAGCCGCATTAATTCTCAGAAAAACTTTCCTTAAAAGGGAAATGATAGCATATTTTCTTGAATATTTTGAGTCACTGCAATAACATTTACCTAAAAGTATTTTTTTAGTAAACTCAATTTCATTGAAATTTCAAAAATAACATAGAAACTATAAACAAGGCAACATGTTATAATCACACAGAGAAAGTACCACCACAGAACAAATATCAATCCTCCTAACAGCAGAGGACAAGTCCCATAAGCTTCTGGAGGGAGACCAGGTGGATTGCAATGTAATTGGGAAAACTGAATTGGGATACTTAGAGAAGGACCCTAATATGTAGAGCAATGCCCTACCTTCAAATCAGGATGCAAACGGAAATCAAGCCATATTCACAGTATTGGAGTACCCAAGTAAGGGGGACCACACGTTATCAAATTTGCATCCTCTGTTGTATGTGGCTCTATACAATGAAAGGACATTGTTCACTATCAATTTCCATATATCTAGAGTCGGTGATGTAAGGGATTTCCAGTGAAGGACAATTGCTTTTCTGGTGTAAAAAGCAAAATACCAAACAAGAGTCAACAAGGCCCAACAAACAATTGTCATTCCCCTGGGGCACCCTGACTACTGTGACCATATAAATGGAACTCAGGACCGGCTCCCAATAGTCATGAGTAGCTGGACAAGTGTAGAAGTTATGTAGGAAGTCTGCACTGAGAGCAGAACACCACCAACACTCTGTAAACTGGGTTTCCAAGAACCTCCCCACCCTGGCTGGAGTAAGATAATAATGATGAACAATTTTAAACTGCATAAGTCTATCTCTGGCCAAAGTCAAAGAACAAAACAGATAATCCTAGATATCATCCTATTTATTGCTATCCAAATTGGAAAGGTCCAGGGCCCATTTTCCCTGCATTTCATTTAACCAGGCCCTATGATGCAGGCTGCTGAATAGCCCTATACAGAGTTGAATGAACCTTCTTTAAGGACTCACGTCTCAGAAAGGATTCCATACTCGTTGTTCCTAAGTGACAAGAGGCTAAGTTAGACTGATCAGAGCAAGTGCGTTGTAATTGAATATATCGGTGTAGGTATTGAATGGGAAGGGAATATCTCATTTTCAAGCTGTTGAAAGAAGGAAATTTACCATCTAGAAACAAGTCTCTTAGGATCTTAATCTCCTTTGACACCCAAACGATCAGTTCTGGAAGCTGAAAGAGATCTGAAGATTCAGATTGTTCCAGAGGTGGGCATGAGGGGACCATTGGTGAGAGTTAGATGGGGGAGAAACACCATGTTCTTATAGTGGACTTCATAGAGGATAGGGGGCTTGACAGCTGCTATAGAGGAGCAACTGAAGCACCAATAGAGTAATTTTAATTGGATTTACGTTTTTACATGATGGAGGTTCTGTACTTTGAAATCTTTCTGCTAATGGCTATGTATATATCAAACAAAACAGGCAACAACCATGCAAAATTTCTGCTGAGATAAACTGGTGATCAGTTCACCAAGAAGAACAATGGGGTTGATTTTCTATAGGATTAGAAGGTGTTTTCTTAGCATAATGTATGCTCATGTAGCTAAATATGTAAGATGAAGCTGTGTTCACTGTGAACATCCAATCAGGTGTAAGCCTAAAAAAAAAAACTTGTTTGCACACAGGAAGCACAGTCTGCTTATATAATGAGCATATAAGGCTGCCCCCATGTTTATATACATTTAAAAACTGTTCAGTAACCTCATTAAATCCGCACTATAGCCGAAAGATGGCTACAGTACGGCTTTCTAGTTCTGGGAGGATGTTCATGGATATCCTTCCAGAACCCTGCCCCTTGTGCGCCCCAGGTTATTTGGACACAGCTGATCACACATTAGGATAAGGGACCAATCACAGCAGCCCTTCACCATGTGATAAGCTGTGTCCACTCACAGCTTGATTACATGTAAACAGACATGCCTTGTTTTCTTTCTTCACACACTTTGTCTGTTTGAGGAAAAGAGAGCCGATAACCAGCAAGGCTTTTAGTACATGGTTTACACTGATAATCAGTGCCCTGATCATCAGTGTAGCCCCATCAGTGCCCATCAGTGCCACCTATAAGTGCCCATTAGTGCCACCTCATCAATGCAGCCTCATCAGTGCCCAGCAGTACTGATCAGTGCAGATTATCAATGCCGCCTCATCAGTGTATCCTCATCAGCACACATCAATGAAGAAGAAAAACTACTTGTTTGCAATGTTTTATAACATAAACTAAGAAAAATGTGGCTTTTTTAAAATTTTAGGCAAAAAAATTAAAAACCAGGCCTGATTAAATACAACCAAAAGAAAACTCTATTGGTCTGAAAAATTATAACATTTTCATATGAGTACAGTGTTGCATGACCGTGCAAATTGTCATTCAAAGTGCAACAGCACTGAAAGCTTAAAATTGGCCTGGGCAGGAAGGGGGTGAAAGTGCCCGGTATTCAAATGGTTAAGCATGTCATTTGTAAAATATTGGCACACACTGATAAGATTTTGAAAATCTATCATATTAACAAGTATATCTATAATCTTTAATAAGACTGTCTATGGAATAATATGCTAAGTAATATAAATAGCCCATATTGGATTGCAATTGTGTAAGCAGTAAATATTTTACAGCATTGCTTCTAATTGTTTCTACTAAAAAGATAAAATAATTCCAGAAGAAAAGAACACTGGATTTGTTTTTTTCCTTTGTTATTTGTTTCTTAGCGTTGCCAAAGCACCATGGTGAAACTGTACCTTTAAAGTGGGCTCTGCTGTGTACACTATTGTTTCGAATTCCCATTGATGATAATGAAAGGAATAAATCTAATTGGGAATTTGTACATGATGAGCACACAGAAGATGAAATAGAAGCCCTACGGTGTTAGCCTAATTGCTGTGCTGCTCGTCTAACCTTCTGCTGGTTCATTTGATAAGGTTCTTTTTATGATGCTATGAATTTCGGAAGTGCTCATTTATTCCACACATAATTCCCCCTACCCCCCCTTTATTTCACCCTCTGCTCATTTGTGAGCCGTTGTCGCAATGATAATGATTTTGCCATTAAAGCTGAAATCACTGCTGCATGAGAGAGCTATGTCCCAGGCTGGCCATTCATCTCGCTGTGTTTTGTGTGGCTAACTTCCCGTCAGGGTCGTTGTTAGTCCTGGACATGCCAGAGCAAAGGAAAGGAGTGGCAGTATAGAGATCAATCATTGTGAAAGAGTGGGGCAAGCTGACAGATTATAACAGAGTACAGGCAAAGTTCTATTAGGTGATCAGCACCCCCCTTGTCTCTAATAAAGCCCGTGTTCACTGTTTGGTGACT